TTTTTTTAAGCAGGCCTGTCTGAGTTAATTAATTTTTTTTAAGACAGAGCCTCAAGCTGTCACCCTGGGTAGAGTGCCATGGCATCACAGCTCATGGCAACCTCCAACTCATGGGCTTAAGTGATTCTCCTGCCTCAGCCTCCCAAGCAGATGGGACCACAGGTGCCTGCCACAATGCCTGGCTATTTTTTTGTTTCAGTTGTCATTGTTGTTTAGCTGGCCCAGGCCCGGTTCAAACCTAACAGACTCAGTGTATGTGGCCGGCATTATAACCACTGTGCCACTGGTGCTGAGCCTTAAAATAATTTTTAAAAATGGAATTTGAATAGATCCTGATGGCTTTTTATTAACCCATATTCCTATCTTCAATACTCTGAATTAGATTTCAAAACATTTATTATTTGAAATTTCCTTCTTCTATTTCTGAAAGAGGGAGCTGAAACTGTACTATCAAAGGAAACATTTTCACCTAAATTTTAAATATGTGCAAAAAGCCAATAGGGGGATTCTGATTCTTTTTTGTTTTGTTAAAGGCTTGCTATATTACCCAGGCTGAACTGGAAAAAAAAAATAACAGAAAGAAGAACATTTCCATTAGTTTGTTATTGATTTAGTCATTCATTTATTCATTCATTGGAAACAGAGTCTCACTCTGTCACCCTGGGTAAAGTGCTGTGGTGTCATAGCTTGGCTAGTTTTTCTATTTCTAGTAGAGATGAGGTCGCCTCTTGCTCAGGCTGGTCTCGAATTCCTGAGCTGAGACATCTTCCTGCCTTGGCCTCTCAGAGGGCTGGGATTACAGGCATGAGTCAGAGCACCCGGCCTAATTTCCATTAGTTTAAATCAAGATGTTTGCATTCATAGAATCTGTAATGGATGTTGTCACCTGCATAGAAAAGTCTTTGTCTAAACTTAATTATACATTTAAAAGAAATTCAAGATTATGAAGGAGGTACAATTTGATTACATAGTTCAATTGTATAACTTGTAAATCAGAGTTGTGGATGTGCTCTCCCCTCGAAAGTATGCAGTGTGCCTGTGCAGGGTCCTCACTGGGGGAGAGTTTGCCTGGGTCCTTCTCCCTCCCCCATTACATGAATTTCACTGAGTTTTGCTCTCATATGTGCTTATATGTCATAGGTCTTAATTTACTAATTCCAGGGTCGGCGCTGTGGCTCAAGTGGCTAAGGCACCAGCCACATACACCTAAGGTGACGAGTTCGAATCCAGCCCGGGCCCGCCAAACAACAATGATGGCTGCAACCAAAAAATAGCCGGGCGTTGTGGCGGGCGCCTGTGGTCCCAGGTACTTGGGAAGCTGAGGCAGAAGACTTGCTTGAGCCCAGGAGTTGGAGGTTGCTGTGAGCTGTGATGCCACAGCACTCTACCCAGGGGGACAGCTTGAGGCTCTGTCTCAAAAAAAAAAAAATTTACTAATTCCAACTGAGTACTGAGTACATATGATGTTTATTTTTCCATTCTTGGGATACTTCACACAGGTGAATGGTCTCAAATTCCTTCTAGATTGTTACCAACTATATGAGATCTCCATCTTTTTATGGTTGAACAATATTCCATGGTATATATGTGTATATGCCACGTATTAATCAACTCACTATTTTTAGTAGAGATGGAGTCTTGCTCTTGCTCAGAGTGAGATTGATGGGCACTTGGGTTGTTTCCACATCTTTGCATTTATAAATTGGGCTGCGGTAAACATTCCAGTGCCAGTGTCTTTTTGATAAAATGACCTTTTCCTTTTGGGGTAGATTCCTAGTAATGGGATTGCAGGATCAAATTATAGGTCTACTTTTCCTTCTCTGAGGATTTCCAGGCTATTTGGCCTGCAATCCCCTGAACGGTGTAAGAGCGCTGCTTCTCTGTACCCACGCCCACATCCACCTGTTGCTTTGGGGCTTTATACATGAGCCACTCTCACTAGGTTAGGTGACTCTGTGCTTTTGATTCCTCTGATTATTTGAGACAATGAACATTTTTTCATGTTTGTTGGCCATTAGACTATCTTTGTAAGAAAAGTTCCTATTCCTGTTTCTTGCTCAGTTTTTAATGGAGTTGTTTGATCTTTTCTTGTTGATTTGCTTGAGTTCTTGTGTAGATTCTCGTAGTTCACTGCAACCTCAGACTCCTGGCTTGTGGGCATCCTGCTGCCTCAGCCTCTGGAAGCCGCTGGGGTTACAGGTGCTTGCTGCGGTGCCCGGCTGGGTTTTTCCATTTTTTTTCATGAGTCGGGGGTCTCACTTTCACTCAGGCGAGTCTTGAACTCCTGAGCTCCAGCGAGTCTCCCTCCTCAGCCTCCCACAGTGCTGGGATTACAGGCGTGAGCCAGCGCGCCCATCTGTGTAGATTCTCGGTATCAGCCCTTTGTCAGCTGTGTAGCATGCAAATAGTTTCTCCCGTTTGGTACATTGTCTTTTTAGCTTATTGATTATGCTCTTAGCTATGCAGAAACTTTCTAACTTTCTAACCATTTATTTGTTTTTATTGTTGCTGTGATTACCAATGGGGTCTTTATAAATTCTTTCCCTAGGCACATAGCATTAAAAGTTTTTCCCACACTGTCTTCTAGGATTTTTATAGTTTCATGTCTTAGGTTTAACTCTTTTACCCATCATGAGTTAATTTTTGTGGTGGCGAGAGGTGAAGACCCTGCTGGGATCTTTACATGTGGCTAACCTGTTCTCCCAGATACCACAGAAATACAAAATACTATTACCGAATACTATAAAAATTTCTATGCCCAGAAATTTGGAAATGTGGAAGAAATGAACAAATTTCTGAAAGCATACTATCTCCCTAGACTCAACCGGGAAGAAATAGGACTCCTCAGCTATCTACTATCAGCATTGAAAAACAATAAAAAATCTTTCAACAAAAAAAGTCTCGGGTTCTGTGCCCATAATACAGTGGATATGGTGCAGGCCATATGCACTGAGGCTGGCAGGTTTGAACCCAGCCTGGGCCAGCTAAACAACAATGACAGCTGCAACAACAACAGCAAAAAATAGCCAGATATTGTGGTGGGCACCTGTAGTTCCAGCTACCTGGGAGGCTGAGGCAGGAGAATCACTTAAGCCCAGGAGTTTGAGGTTGCTGTGAGCTGTGACACCATAGCACTCTACCAACAGCGACATAGTGAGACTCTGTCTAAAAAAAAAGAGTCTGGGACCAGACAGTTGAAAACCAGAATTTTACCAGACCTTCAAAGATGAGCTTGTGCCTATATTGCAGAATCTATTCCCTATCATTGAGAAAGAAGGAACTCTCCCCAATTCCTTCTATGATGCAAGTATCACTCTGATATCAAAGCCAGTAAAGGACGCAACAACAGCAACAAAAACTATAGACAATGTGTCTAATAAATACAGAAGCAAAAATTCTCAATAAAATCTTAGCAAACAGAATCATAGCATATTAAAACAATAAGTCATCACTGCCAGGTGGGCTCCACATTCCAGGGATGCAGCGTGTTTCAACACATACAATTCTATAAGCATCATTCACCACACAAACAGAAGTAAAAACAGACCATACAGTCCTTTCATCCTTTTTTAAGTGTAGAAAAAACATTTGACAAAATTCGGCACCCTTTTCTAATAAGAACAGATGAATATTGGCATAGATGGGACATTCCTTAGGTTGATAGGCCCCATCTATGACAAACCCACAGCCAATATTACCTTGAATGGAGAAAAACGGAAGGCATCACGTCTCAGAACTGGAACCAGATGAGGATGTCCATGGCGCCACTGCTGTTAGACGTGGCTCTGGAAGTCCCAGCCTGAGCCATCACACGAGAGAAGGATATCGACGGTATCCACACGGGGAAAGAGGAGGTCAGACTCTCACTCTGCTGACGATATGATCCTATCCCTAGAAAACCCCAGGGACTCAAGCAAGAGACTCCTGGAATTGATAAATAAAGGCAGCAGTGTTTCTGGCTGCACAGTCAGTAGCTTAAATATCTGCCAATCCCAGTCAAGCCGAGAATCAACTCAAAGATACAATGCCTTTCACAGCGGCATCAAAGAAAATGAAATACCTTGGAAGACATTTCACAAAGGAGGCGAAGGCCTCTACAGAGAGACTATGAAACACGGAGAGAAGAACTTACAGAAGGTGTCAATAGACGGGAAAGCATGCCAAGCTCAGGGCCCAGCAGAATCCACACTATTAAAATGCCTGTACTTCCCACAGTGATCCCTAGTAAAGCACCAGCCTCATAGTTTGCAGAACTTGACAAAATAGTTCTAACTTTTTTTGTAGAACTTTGTATAGAATCAGAAAAGACCCTGAATAGCCCATACAATTCTATGAAATAACAAATCTGGAGGCTTCACTTTACCAGACTTCAGGCTACATTACAAGCTTGTAATGATCAAAACAGCATGGTATTTACCACTTGATGTCAGTGTTTCAAAAACAAACAAAAAACAGCATGGTATTGGCATAAAAATAGAGACGTAAATCTATAGACTGGAACAGAGATGGAGCCAGCTGCATACTGCCCTCTGAGCAGGTCTGGGGCGCAGGAAGAATTGGGGAGTCAGACAGCCAGAAGAGGAGGCCACCCACAGGGACAGAATGAAGGGAAAAAGAATGTAGTTTAAACTTGCCCTTGGCTTTGGGGGATTTGTTATCCCAGAACAGGGAAGCAGCTGCATTTGTATTCAATGAGCTCTATTAATCTCTTTTTCCAGATTGATGATTACCCAGAATTTTTGAGTTCACCAGTTAGAGAAATCAACCAACACATCCGTATCATCTGTTCCTCAGCTGTGTTGAAAAAAGACTGTGGGAAGTCAAAAGGAGCCAGGAGGCTCCTGTTCCCGTTTCACTATGCCAAAGCCAAGAGAAAAGGTAAGGAATACACTTCTTCAAGGCATCTAAGACAAAAATATGTTTCTTCCTAAGATAAAAAGGATCATGTTCTGTAGACCTTTAGCAGATGAGCTGACTGATACAGTGTGACCAGCACAGTGGCTGGGCACAGTGTGCCCCGAACAAAGCGTGTAGCAAAAGGGAAACAAGCGGAGGAAGGGGAGGAAGGAAGAAAAAGGAGAAAAAGGAAAGATAGAGCAGTGTTCACTGAACGTTGGTTTAAAAAGAAGAGTGAGGCGGTGCTCGTAGCTCAGTGGGGAGGGCCTGGCCACATACACCCGGGCTGGTGGGTTCGAACCAGGCTCAGGCCAGCTAAAAAAACAACAATGACAACTGCAAAAAAAAAAAAAAAAACAGCCGGGTGTTGTGGTAGACATGTACAGTCCCAGCTACTTGGGAGGCTAAGGCAAGAGAATCTCTTAAGCCCAAGAGTTTGAGGTTGCTGTGAGCTGTGATGCAACAGCACTCTACTGAGGGCGACATAGTGAGACTCTGTCTCAAAAATAAATAAATAAATAAATGAAAATAGCTGGCCGTTGTGGTGGACACCTGTAGTCCCAGCTATTTGGGAGGCTGAGGCAAGAGGATCGCTTGAGCCCAAGAGTTTGAGGTTGCTGTGAGCTGTGATGCTATGGCACTCTACCCAGGGAGACATAATGAGACTCTGTTTCAAAAAAAAAAAAAAAAGAGAGAAGAATGAGTTAGAATCTGGATTTCTTGGTCCGTTCTTATTCAATTTTAATAATCTTATTAACAGAGAGATTTTAATGAAAAACCAGTGAAGAAGAGCAGAGGAATTGGAGTGCTTGTAACCTGGCCATAGGATACCTGTTGGTAGGCATCTTTGTCAGCCTGGGTCCTCCCACCAGCAAGGAAAGCCACAGGCTCTGCCCTCATTATTATGCTTATTAATAGTATTCAGACTTTTTTTTTTTTGAGACAGAGCCTCAAGCTGTCCCCCTGGGTAGAGTGCTATAGCATCACAGCTCACAGCAACCTCCAACTCCTGGGCTCAAGCGAGTCTCCTGCCTCAGCCTCCCAAGTAGCTGGGACCACAGGCGCCCGCCACAATGCCTGGCTATTTTTTGGTTGCAGCCGTCATTGTTGTTTGGCGGGCCTGGGCTGGATTTGAACCCACCACCTTAGGTGTATGTGGCTGGCGCCTTAGCCGCTTGAGCCATAGGCGCCGAGCCTAGTATTCAATCTTTATTCAAAAATATTTTGGGGGAATCTATCCACTGTTCAAAAAGCCATAGCTGGATAGTAAAGTGGTATAAACAGATTTTGTCCAGGACTCTGGCAGTAGGGGAAAAGAGACTCAGTGTAGGACTGAGCTCTACTCTCAACACAGCATGGGCCGGTGGGAATTTATAGCCAAGGAACAGGATCAGCGGGTAGAAAATTCAGGGGTAAGGGAGATTCTGGCTCAAACAGCTTAGCAGGATTCTTGCTCAATTGAACAGTACAGAGAAAGACACAAGAGTCCAAAGTGGAGGGCTAGCTGCACAGTTCAGGGAGCCCGAGTAGGGTTTGGTGAAGGAATGAGTCCTTGTCACCACCCACGAACTGGGATGCACACCTGGATAATAAGATGAAAAGTCACCTTTAGATCTTGTCCTTGGAGAGCTCAGCACCTGTACAGGTGACTTTCCTGCTGTGCACCAGGAGACTCAGGGGGTGAGTCCGGCTGCTGCCCTCACCTGGTGGTCCAGAGTTTGGGCTTTCTCTAAGCTTTTCCTGTAGGGAAGTCTGAAAAATTCAAGGACAAGGGGATAAAAATAGAGCATGATGGTCCAGTGGGTAGGGTGCCGGCCACATGCACCCAGGCTGGAGGGTTCAACCCGGTGCAGGCCAGCTAAACAACAATGACAACTAAACCAAAAAATAGCTGGGTGTTGTAGTGGGCACCTGTAGTCCTAGCTACTTGGGAGGCTGAGGCAGGAGAATAGCTTAAGCCCAAGAGTTTGAGGTTGCTGTGAGCTGTGACGCCATGGCCCTGTACTGAGGGCGATGTAGTGAGACTCTGTCTCAAAAAAAGAGTATAAATATATAGCTCAGTAATATACTATTTTCATGGCCTAATTTTATATATGCATAGTGATACAATAAGGAATACTGTATATCCTTTGTCCCTGATTCCAGACACAAAACTTCTAAAACTTTTTTTTGAGACAGGAGCCTCAAGCTATCCCCCTGGGTAGAGTGCCATGGCATCACAGCTTACAGCAACCTCCAACTCCTGGGCTCAAGTGAGTCTCCGGCCTCAGCCTGTCGAGTAGCTGGGACCACAAGTGCCCGCTACAACGCCCAGCTATTTTTTTGTTGCAGCCGTTGTTGTTTGGCGGGCCTGGGTTGGATTCAAACCCGCCACCTTGGGTATACGTGGCTGGCGCCTTAGCCGGGTGAGCTACAGGCGCCGAGCCTAAAACTCTTCCTTTTTTTTTTTTTTTTGAGGCAGAGTCTTAAGCTGTCACCCTGGGTACAGTGCTGTGGGAATCATAGCTCACAGCAACCTCCAACTCTTGGGCTCAAGCGATCCCCTTGCCTCAGTTTTTCTATTTTTTAGGAGAGATGGGGTTTCACTTTTGCTCAGGATGGTTTCAAACTCCTGAGCTCAAGCAATCCACCCACCTTGGCCTCCCAGAGTGCTAGGATTACTGACATGAGCCACCACACTGGGCCTAAAACTCTCATAATTTTCTGAGTGACAAGGGTGAGAAGAACATTGCTTGTTATTCATAATAAGCTCCTTTCACTTTACAGTAGAAACTGTCAGGTGACCACCCAAGGGACTGTCACAAGCTGGTCAACACACGGAGGTGGTCACCATAAGGACACGCACAGGTGGTCTAGGTCCTGTCTGTGAAAATCAGGCCAGTCAGTGCAGGGAGGGGTCAGCGATGGAGGTTCCTGTATTTAGTTTATGCTAAGGAGGTGACACTTGGTGGCCTCTAGATAGTTTCAGAATGGGGGCTGGGTGCCAGAGGACACAACCTTGTGATTAGAGAGTTGGAATTTTCCACCCTCCCCTGCATGACCCCCCCCCCATCCTCCAAGGAGGGGAGAGCGACTGGAGTTTGAGCCAGTCACCCATGACCTGTGATGTAATCAGTCATACCTACTTAATGAATCCTCCATACAAACTCTTAAAGGATAGGATTTCAGAGCTCCCAGGTTGGTGAACACATCCAACTACTGGAGTGGGGTGTCCCAGCGGAGGGCCTAGAGCAGCGGTTCTCAACCTGTGGGTCACGACCCCTTTGTAACAATGAAAATACACCACGGCATTAGGAAGGTTGAGAACCACTGGCCTAGAGACTCTGCAGCCCCCTCCCATACAGCACCTGGTGCGTCTTTGGCTCGGCTCTTCCTGAGCGGTGTCTTTCATAACGGACTGGTAACAGTAAACAGAGCTCTGTCCGGAATTCTTGCCAATTGCTGACTTCAGGAAGGGGTTGTGGTCTAGGGAAGAAGGACTTTTCCTCTACCCTCTTAGGTTCTGCCGTTGGGCCTGGGGATTAAACTGACAAATTACAGATTAACAGGAGAAAAGGCTACACATTTTATTTGGTGTTAACTTTTTTTTTTGAGACAGAGTCTCACTATGTTGCCCTGGGTAGAGTACCGTGGCGTCACAGCTCACAGCAACCTTAAACTCTTGGGCTTAAGAGATTCTCTTGCCTCGGCCTCCCAATTAGCTGGGACTTCAGACACCCTCCACAACGTCTGGTAGTTTTTGGTTGCAGTTGTCATTGTTGCTTAGCAGGCCCGGCCAGGCTTGAACCCACCAGCCTTGGTGCATGTGGCCAGCACCCTACTCACTGAGCTACAGGCGCCGACCCTTGGTATTAACATTTGTACATGGCGTAGAAACCTTCATGAAAGAGAAGCAGAAGGGCCTGGGAGTTTATGTACAGTGGATTTTAGGGCTGTGACAAGACAAAGGCAGAGCTTTGTGCTCCGGGTCAGTGAGGTGTGGGTTAGGTGAGCAGCAAGTTCCAGGGAGACTGGCGGAAGAAGAGGGCCATTTAGTAAGTATGCACAGATCCATCTCAGCTTCAGCAGCCCCCCTTTCTGGCAATAAGAACGTGCTCCTCTTTCTGACAGAAGGAGGCTGCCTGTCTCCTGGAGATTTATCCCCGGCTTTAAGGTAGAAAGTGGTAGGGCAGAGAGCCCATCCTGGACCTGCTGTTTCTCAAGGGCCTTCAGTTCAAAATAACTCTATGCCAAAGCCTCACATTTTGGGGTGGCATATTCTGATCCCCTTCATGGGGAGCCCCTGGTTTATGGCTGGCTGGTCAGAGTGTAGATGGGAATTTGGGACTTGTAACCGGCACCTGAAGTCGGGGCGCTCTGTGGGACTGAGCCCTTTCCCTGTGAGTCTGCACTAATTCCTAGTGGTTAGAGCCAGAATTGATCTGAAATGCAGGGTACCCAGATGGTATCCAGAGAATTAGAGAATTGATTTTTTTGGGTGGAGGGAGCCCCCCCACATTTGGTGTCAGAACAGCTCAGGTGTCTCTGCACACTTGTGGGTCTAGGTGTGTGAGCCTGGACAGTGTCTGGCCTCGTAGTTGGCAGCTGGTGAAAAGCAGAGAAAAAGGGCATGGACTTTGGATTTGGCTAGTCCGGGCTGGGGTCCTGGCCCTCGCGTGTGCTGGCTGTGTGGCCTTCTGCAAGTCATTTAACTCTTCTGAGCCACTGGTTCCTCATCCCTCTTCCTAGCTCCACATTTTGCTGGGTTACATGAATTAACGTGGGCAGTGCTGGCCCATGGCTAGGATGAGTGCATTAGCAGGGTCAGCTGTGGAGATTGCACACTCAGCTTAGAGGGAGAAGGAAAGGGGGAAGGTCTGAGGAAACTTCTGCCCTTCCATCCCTGGCATCCAGCTGAGTAGCTGGACTGTCCTGTAGCAGCACGCTGGCTTGCCCCTGGACTTCACCCGAAGACCCTTGGAGTACCACACAGCTACCAAGTGTGAGAAGATGGTGTGGCCTGTGTCCCCTTTCCACCCTGACACGCTATGGCATGGAAAATGTTTGTAGAAGTTGTTGTAATGAGCAGAATTATCAAGTCCCTGGCTGCTCACCAGGTCTCCTGGCACGCTAATTAGGACGTCTAACTGGTGACGGCTGCCTTAAATGTGTATTTATTATCCTTGTCCACAAGCATAATCATCCTTGAGGCTTTTTCAACGTGGGCAGGAAGATAAATACACACATTAAAAGGATTTAGTAAAACAGGTGGAAGTTTTATGAATTTAAGTTCCTGGAGACTTTGTAAATGACGGTAAAAGTGGTGAGGCTTCATCTCGTGTGCCTGGCTGGTCGCAGGCACATCTGCCCCAGCCTGTTCCTTGCTTTCATCCCCAATAGTACGTCTGACATTTTTATTCAGGGGCTTTTGACTTTTGAGAATATAAAACTGCCACCGTCACAGGAGTCTAGCCCACATCACAGGGTAAGAACCTCTCCCCTTTCCATCACGCTAGCCGTGGTGCTGTATGCCTTCTGTCCTCCCACGGCTTGTTCCCTGGGTTAGATGTCACTGTTTACCCAGGACTCGGTGGTTCAGCTGTACACACTCTGCAATATGTGGTCCTAAGGCGAGAGTCAGTCTCTAACCTGCCCTAACGTCAATCTGACAGTAGTCATTACTACAACCTCCAGTGTTAATGAAGGTGATGTCACGCTGTAGAAGCGGCACGCGTTAACTGCCACTATTGACAGAAAGCTAATTATCAGGACTAACTCCGAACCTCTTGGGGGAAAGCCTAGGGAATATTTTTAACTTGTAGCAAAGGTGTCCACGTCGTAATTCACTTGATCTTCTGAACAAAGAGAGCTCAAAATTACAAATTGTTTACAGTAAAAATACTTACTCTAAGTTGTCACACTTTGAACAGGACTCCTGCATAGGCCCAATTTTTCTGTAGATAGAAAAAGAGGCCTTTCTCCTTAGTGTGTGTGTGTATGTATGTATATATATGTTCTTCTGTGGGCCACAGTTAGCACTATGAATGGTACTTTTTACATTTAGCTGAAAGGGATGGTTAGTAAACTCTACATGAATAGTGCTGATGGAAGAGAGTGGCATTGTCTCACTACATTAGTAGCCACAGCTTTTGAATGGACTGGGTCATTAACCACTTAGTCTCAGGTGCATCTGAGAATAGCCCTACCCAGTAGAACTCTTTGCAGTGATGGAGATTATCTTTAGTTAATCTAATTATGTCTATTGGCTACCTGTGGCCATTGACTACTTGACTACTGAAGATGACTTTTAATTTTTTTACGGTCTGACACAGGTTATTATCTCCTGTCACCAAGGATGGAGCGCAGGGGAGTGATTCTAGTTTACTGTAACCTCCATCTCCTGGCTCAAGCAATCCTTCTACCTCAGCCTCCTGAGTAGCTGGGACGACGGGTGCCCACCACTACACCTGGATAATTTATTATTCTTTGTAAAGGTGGAGGTCTTGCTGTGTTGCCCAGACTTATCTCAAACTCCTGGCCTCAAATAATCCTTCAGCCTCAGCCTCTCAAAGTGCTGGGATTACACACATGAGCCGCTGCATCTGGCCTGAGTTTTAATTTAATTATTTGTTTTATTTCACTGGAGACAGAGTCCCACTCAGTTGTCCTGGGGTTGAATGCCACGGCATCATAGCTCATAGCAATCTCAAACTCTTGGGCTCAAGTGATTCTCTTGCCTCAGCCTCCTAAGTAGCTGGGCCTACAGGTGCCTGCCACAATGCCTGGCTATTTTTTGCTTGTAGTTGACATTGTTTTTTATTTATTATTATTATTATTATTTTTAATGCCTTATTACATAATGATTGGATGTAGTTGTCACTGTTGTTTGGCAGGCCCGGGCTGGGTTTGAACCCTCCAGCTGTGGTGTATGTGGCTGGCGCCCTAGCTGCTGAGCTATAGACCCAAGCCAACAGCTGGCTATTTTTTAGAGATGGGGGTCCTCTTGCTCAGGCTGGTCTAACTCCTGAGCTCAAGCAATCAGTTCGCGTTGGCCTCCCAGAGTGCTTTACATGTGTGAGCCACCACGCCTGGCTTAATTTAATCAAATTGAAATTGCCACCAGTGGCTAGTGGCTACTACATATTCACTGCAGTCCTGGAATCAGAAAAGACCCAAAAGTCTTTAGTGGTATATTTTAAAATGTTGGCATGAAGCTAAATAGATGAACCCCCAAACGAGAATGAAACATAATTTAGTGAAATGTAAACTAAACCTAAGTTTTATATGACCCTTGAACAGAGCAGGGTTTGACCTTTGCACAGTCAGAACTCCATGTAAATCTGTGACTCCCTCAAAATGTAGCTGCTGGTAGCCGCCTGTTGACTCAGAGTTGCTGATAAAATAAGCAGCCCGGCCACGTGTATCTCTCTGTCTTATGTAGACATGTTGTTAGTATAGAGTAAGCTAGAGAAAAGAAGCCGTTATTCAAGAAAATCATAAGGCAGAGAAAATATGTTTACTGTTCATGGAGGGGCAGGGGGTCATCATAAAGGCCTCACTTCATTGTCTTCCTAGCGAGCAGCCCGAGGACCAGGAGGAAGGGCAGGGCCTGGTCTCGCTGTCCCGGGCGCCAGAGGCAGCAGAAAGCCCCCGTGTGAATGGCCTGTGCACTTCCAACCCTGTCACTCAGGGGCCGACTGAACAGATGGATAGACAGTTGGCTCTCCATGTCTGCAGATACTGCATCCGGGGATTCTACCAACTTCAGATCAAAACAGGAGACGCACACATTCGGGTGCAGCTACCACACACTTGGACTCCTCCACCTGCCCCCTGGGCAATGCTTTTTCCCTTGGGCCTCTGCCTCCAATACCTGGTAGTCTTTGATGTTGGGGCTCTGCAGGTCTGCAGGCTGAGCTGACCTCTCATGCCTGGACCAGAGCCCCAGGCGGCCTGTGCCCTCCGAGTTGCTGTAGACCCACTTGCACCGTCCACTGCCCTGGTTCCAGGCCAGGGTCACCTGAGCTTCCTCCAGGGCTGAATCCCTGTGGCCAATACCAACTTGGCAGTAGCTTATGGAAAAGTCAGTTTGGTTCTGGTCCAGAATACTCAGACACTATTTTTACTTATTCCCCCAAATAAGAAAACAAAATAAACTCACATAATGGGAGGGGTATGACAGTTTTCTTGATATAGGTTATGACTGGTTACTTTAAGTCATTTTAATTTTATTTATATATTTTTTCTGAGCCAGAATTTCACTCTGTAACCCTGGGTGTCATCACAGCTCACAGCAACCTCAAATTCCTAGGCTGAAGCAATACTCTTGCCTTAGCCTCCCGAGTAGCTGGGACTGCAGGTGCCCACCACTGCATCTGGCTAGTTTTTCTATATTTAGTAGAGACAGGGTCTTGCTTACTCTTGCTCAGGCTGGTTTAGAACTCTTGAGCTTAAGCGATCTGCCTTCCTTGGCTCCCAGAGAACTAGGGTTACAGTGTAAGCTGTATTGCACGGGCCTATGTCAGTCATTTCTATATATGTTAATCTCCTTTTCATTCACAGAATTATCATCCTCATTTTTACAGATTAAGATTCTGAGCTCCTGGCCCTATATGCCAGAGGTGGTGGGTTCAAGCCCAGCCCCAGCCAAAAACTGCAAAATAAAAAGAGAGATTCTGAGGTCAGAGTAATAAAGTTATTGGAAGAGTCTGAAATTAAGCATGTGTTTTAATATTAAAGCCTGTGTTCTTTCTGCTCCATCGTGCTGGCAGCTTAAAGTTTGGGCTAGCCACCTTTTTTCAAGGATTTATGAAGAGTCATCGACTCAGTACAATACATGTTACTAGGTCTTCATAAACTCAGTCAAATTATTTAATTAGTGACCAAATAACTTTTTTTTTTTTTAAGTCAAGGAAGAGAATAACGGTCCTGCCCTTTGGACAGGCAAAGAGCCCAGAAATCTAAAAGAATCCTCTCTCAGGTAAGCTGTTGTTTGGAGAATGTTTTTAACTTGCTGATCAAATGTATCCTACATTCTAACTTGTTTTCCTTAAGGCTTTTACTCTGCTAATGGCTTTGGACCCACTTCTATTAATCTCATACATGCAACGATGAAGAAGGTATTTTGAGAGAACTTACTCTTAAATTGAAATCCAGTTAAACATAAAGTATGATTTTTCTCATTTTAAATGACTATATAGATGTTATGATATAGATAATTTACTAAAGTGAAATTCAAAAACACCTGCTGAGCAGGCCCGCCAAAACAATAATGACGGCTGCAACCAAAAAATAGCCAGGCTTTGTGGTGGGCGCCTGTGGTCCCAGCTACTTGGGAGGCTGAGGCAGGAGACTCGCTTGAG